CAGTGTGGGGAAGACATGGAGAGCTTCTGTATTTTGGAGAATCCAGCCCATGACCTCTGTGTGTTTCCTGTATTCAGTGGATTCTGCTGGGCACATATGAATGAGAGGCATATTCATGGTTGGTTGTACTACTGTGTGATGAACTAGAATTTAATTTGTTATTTTAAATTAATACTTCATCAGGTACTTATTGTCTCTCTGATAAAATACACACAGAAATGCCTTTCAATCAAATCAACTATGGACTGTATGGAGAATAGATCACAATGGGAAGGGGTTTATTGTGCTACCTTTTTATTTTTATTTTTTATTCATCTACTTTAAAAACTATCCTTTCACATTGAAGATTCTAGCAGCGTTTTGAGTGAGGCATACAGTTTTTCATTACTTTGGGGCTAGTGAAAGCCAGGACCCAATTAGAAGCTTTCTTTACAGATAAGTAAAGGCAACTAGAGGCTTCTGCTTAGCATGCAAGCATCTCAGTTTTTCCCTTGTCTTGAGAGGATTTTTTTTCTTTTGTTTTGGTTTTTTTTTTTTTTTTTTTTTTCTGGAAGAATTCTTGAAAATTGTTCCTTTTAATCACAGAGTTTGTAAAGAGGTTTGTTGGAGCTTTTGACAGGTATTCCTGTAAGGACTGTAACATAAAAGAAATTTTTTCCTTAATGCTGTAAATGACAGCAGTTTTAACAGCAGCTTGTCATCCTTCACTGTCATTGATACTGTACTGATTGGGCATTTTATGTTACATAAGGGAAGATTTCAGTGTTGTAGGGCTGGTGCTTTGTGACATAGAATCATGCTTAGGGTGGAAGGGACCCAATAATCAAATAATCTTGTTCTATCCTCTCTGCTTTGAGCAGGTTTGCCACCCACTAGATCAGGCTGGCCGAGACACTGTGCAACCTGAGCTTGAGGACCTCCATAGATGGGGAATCCACAGCTTATCTGGGCAAGCTATTCCTGTGCCTCATCACCCTCTGAGTAAAGAATTTTCTCCTGACATCTTACTTAATTCTTCCCTATTTTAGTTTAAAGGCATTCACCCTTGTCCTATCACTATCAGGCTTTGTAAAAAGTTGGCTTTCCTCCTGCTTATAAGCTCCCCTCTGGTACTGGAAGGCCAAATGAGGTCTTCCCGCAGCCTTCTCTTCTCCAAGCTAAACAAGCCCAGCTGCTTCAATCTTTCTTCATAAGATGGCTCCACCCCTCTGACCATCTTCATGGCCTTCCTCTGGAGGCACTCTAAAGTCTCCATGTCTCTTGTGCTGGGGTCCCAAGGCATGAATGCAATACTGCAGATGAGACCTCACAGGGGCAGAGCAGAAAGGGTCAATCACCTTCCTCTCCCTGCTGTCCACATCTCTTTTGATACAGCCCAGGATACTGTTGGCCTTGTGGGCTACAAGTACACTGTGCTGGCTCACGTCCAGCTTTTCACCTACCGAGACCCCTAAGTCCTTCTCTACAGGGCTGTACTCAATGAGTTCTTCTCTGTTTGTATATATATCTGTGATCACCTCAGTCCAACTGCAACACCTCACACTTGGCCTTGGTTGAACCTCATTCGATTCACATGGACCCACTTTTCAAGCTTATCCAGGTCCATCTGGATGGCTTCTCTTTCTTCTATTGTATCAGCTGCACCACTGAGCTTGGTGTGATTAGCAAACTTGTTGAGGGTGCACTCAATCCCACTATGTCATTGACAAAACTGTTAAAGAGCACTGATCCAAGACACCTGCAGGACACCACTCGTGACCACCTTCCACCTGGACATGGATCCATTGGTCTACAACCATTTGGCTGTGACCATCCAACTAATTCTGTATCCACTGAATAGTCCAGCCTTCAAATCTGTATCTTTCCAATTTATAGTTAAGAACGTGGTGCAGGACTGTATTAAAGGCTCTGTACAAGTCCAGGAAGATGACATCAATTGCCCTTCCTTTGTCCTACATATTAGTTACTGAAGCTTTTAGCAGTTTTCAACTTCAGGATGCCCTTTTGTTATCAGGCTGCTTGTACTTCATCTCTTTCCTAGGCATTATATTTCCATTTTTCTTCTTATTCTTGGTATTTGATAGCACACTCATTATGTTTGCCCAGAAAAGATCTGTTGCAGAGTCAAGTGATAGCGCTTTTCTTCCTGTCTGTCATGAGACTTTGCAGGGAGAGCTGGGCTTTGCTCAATAGTGAGTTTGTCTTGTGTGGGACAACTTAAAGGTATATCCTCTGAGCATGCGGTTCAGCTGAGTCCTGAGAAAGCCAGCATTAAGTCTTTTCTGGTTAGCTCACCCTTCATCATTGTGTCCAAGTGTTACATCACAGATCCTTTCAGGATTCTCTCCTTCCAGCTGAACCTGCCCTGAGTATCCTAGAGTCGTAAGGTTCACAGAGTACTAGGCAAGGTGCTTATAGCTCCTACTAATACTATGTCTTTAAGGAGAAGTTAAATTCAGTCTACGGCTAGGTTCATCGTAGCGGTCAGAGGGAAGACTGAGCATAAATTAAGTGCTTTCTCTGTGCTCTTCACTAAAGCACACCAGGGCAACCATAACCCAAGTCCTATTCTAGAACAACAGTTAGAGTTGACTATGAGAAGCTTGGGCAAGTGGAGGAGAGACTGGGAAGGAAACAGAGGTAGGAAAGTAGTATAGATACCCTGCAGTCTTAGCCACTGTTGCCTGCCTGTTGCCCACTTAGAATCTAATTAGGTTTTCAAACAGCAGATCGGAAGCATTTTTTATGAGAGGGTAGCATGACTTTCTGAGTTGCCTTTGGCTCAGAAGCAGGTGTTTTGTAGCGTATTGTCTCTGAGACTTAATAATAATACATTTATTATATTGTTTCTCAATTTGTGGTATCCTTTCAGGATTTGTGGTAAAGTCTTGATGGATTCTTACAGTGAAACCTCTTTTATTTAGCATTCGGTATTTTAATTGAACGTAATCTCTACATCTGCAGCTCCTATAGCAGGCATCTCTCCTAAGAAGCTTTAAGATGTCATAGTAAAGGAGAAAAATATGGATTTTTTTTTTACTAGCGCCTGTAATTTAGGTAGTAAAATAATTGGGTAGGAAGCATATCTTATTTCTAGTTGAATATGATATGAAAGACAGTCACAGCCTGGTTAAACTTGAGTTATCCTACAATATTTGGATGGCTCTACTTTAAGCAGCTGTCAGAAAAAATATTTGAGATTCGATGTATTATGAAGAGTTGTAGGTAGAAGGGCTGTATCTCTTTCAAGGTACCTTTTTTGTTGTGTGAAATGGGAGGAACTCATATTGCAATAACTATTGAGGAGGTGTTTAAACCAATGAATTGCTTACATTAAATTATTATTCCAAATAGAGGGGTGGAGAGGTTTGAATGGACTTTCACCATTCTCACAGCCTCCTCCTTGTAAGAGATGCATCAGAAACTTGTAAGAGATCTTTTATTTGTAAGTGTTGATATTCTGCTCAAGCTATTGTAAGAGTTATTCATTTCCACTTGAGGAGCAGAAGGGGGGAGTACGTACAAATTTCTTCTCTCCTCCTCTTCCCTTCTTTCCTCTGGACACATTCAAAAAAGTAAGAAGAACCTCTAATAGTCAAATTTACATCACTCATAATCAGGAAAGGTTCTGAGGATATTCTGGAAGACAAATCATAACTAGAACTTATGCATCAGTTGGAAATTGGGCTACAATTCTGACTGTAATTTGTACAGTCTTTTGATATGGTACAAATCCTTCCTATTTATAAAGACTCTACCAGCTTGATTTTCATCATAGGGCATTAAACTCCAGAACAGCATTCTTTTTAGTGTTTCTTTTATTTGGTTTGCTCCTTACAAACATTGCATTTTGTGTGTGTGTTGTTATGCTTTGCCTGAACTGTACTGCTTCGCCTAATGGTGAAAACAAGAAAGTGCTCTGTTTCATGCACAAGGGGTTTGTGTGAAAAAACATGGTGTCAGTAGTACTTAGTGCTGTAACAGCATGTGTGTTTTAATCCGGGAGACCTAACAATGTTCTGCAACCTTTATACTTGGATGTAGAACAGCTAATGATACAAATATCCTGAATCCACATCTTTCTTTCATGTTTCTAATGAGATAACCTGAGACGCAGCCATGCTTTGCAAGACATGCACATTGAAAAGGAGTTATTTGGTTACTGTTGGTTTGGCCGTGTTCTTATTGCCTATTGTGAAAATATTTAGCAGCTGAAAATGTTCGGTAGAAGAGTTTGTTCACATGATAATTTCTATCTATAGTTCCATGGTTGCACAGGAAAAGAGAGAAAAGCTAAATAACATGTACTTACATGGCTTTATCTTGTGTGACACTGAAGAAGAATTGTATTAATCTTGTGCAGTCAAGAGAAAAAAGAAGAAAAAAAAAAAGACGCAAAAGGGTTGCATGTCTCTAACTCAAGTTTTTTAGTTCGTCCTGCCTTTTGTAATGGAAGAGTGTGGTTTCTTGTGACAATAAATTTGTCTGAGGCACTTTTTATGTTGCCCTAAGATATCAGTATTTTCCATATGGCAACAAAATCTATAGTCTCTGGATGGTCATCTTGTCACCCAGCAAAGCAAAAGGCATGATTCACTCTCTGGAGTGGATATATGGCTAGGATTAAGTATTGTGTGAAAGGATGCTTATACATAAGGGAAGTTCTTGCAGTCTGAGGTTAAGATTTCCTGTGTTGCTGAGAAGGTAATGTGAGATCTGACCATCTGTGCACAGGCTGATTGTATTCAGTCTGCACTCCTGTAAAAGCTATTTGTGTAAGATCATAGAATGAAATTCTCTGTGGATGGGCATTTTGCCCTAATATGTGTGAAACTTTAAAAAATCTACTGCTTGTACTGAGTTCTCAGATCCTTTATCCACAAGTGCAAATATTATGCTGTATCTATAGTTTTGTCCCTCACTTGTTTTAACCATAAACACTTACATTGACCAAAATTATATGTACAGACTTTTTTGTTTTATTTTCCTTTCTCTCTCAGACACCCTGGCTTTGGAATACCAGACAGTGCTGGAATGGTTACCCATATCAGGTAAAAGTACTGCCTAAAACCAAGAATGGCATCCCTGAAGAGCTCTGTTTTTATTATGGTAGAGCTTTATGTCAGTATGTTAGTATGAACAGGCTACTTGGTGCTTCAAATGTTGCTAGATGCTCCTTGTCTTCCTGTGTTCAAGAAGTGAAATGGGAATTTAACTATCACACCTGTTTTGACATGAAACACATGATCCGAAAACAAATATGGGAAATCTACCTGTAACATCTGCCACAATGGAGAAGTAGCCATAGTTCTGAAGATGCTGAAAGTTTTAGCAAAGCCAGAGATCTAGCAGAGTGGCAAATTCAGAAACTTAGTTACTAGTCTTAAATGGGGCACTTACACTTGCTGTATTTAAACTTATGCTAGAAGAGAAGAGAGTCCATCAGAAATGAGACCATCTAATAAAAATCATTTTCAAAATCTTTGTCCCAGAAACAAAGACATCTACTGAGTGCTGATCAAGTAGGGCAGATCAAGTAGTACTGAGTGCGGATCCTTATGCGTTGGGTTTTTCATTTGTTTTTTGGTTCTTCTTCTTAAATAGGTAAAAGTTCTAACCTGTTGTTTGTTACAATCCTTTTGTAAGTTACTCAGCACAAAATTGCAGAAATCCAAGTGGACTTACAGTAGGTGTAGTCAAATGAACCATTTGGAAGACAACTTACACGTAAGAGCAGAACTGTCCTATTCAAGTCTTCAGGGAACTGAAATCCAATATGTTAGCTAAGTTAAACGCACTATTTATCTTCTCATGGAAGGAAGCTATGATGCCATTAAAATCCTCCCTTCTCCTATTACCATTGTATGTGGGCTTAGAAATATTAATGTTATTGTTAATAAAGTATCTGATAATCTTACTACAAATTTTCACTGGTGAGTTCTCATGCAAAATGAATGTAATAGTTGCAGCCTATTACTACCACTGTTAGCTCTTATTCTCTTCTTTTTTTTCCTTACACCTAATTAAAAGCGTACTGACAGTGTCACTAAACCAGAAAAGGATTATATTGGCACAAGCAACGACTTTAGACTGATTTTGAGTGTGCACAGTTGTCATAAAGGATAAATATGTATCTACATTTAAACAACCCGTATAGGATGTTTAGTCTGCATCTGAAAACTCTTTGGCTACAAAGTATTGGTCTGCAAAAAAGAATGGGAATAGAAGAGACAAACGAATTGCCTCTTTCTGATTGAAATAGCTCTTACTCTGCTTGGGTGTGTGGTTGAGCCAGTGCAGAGTGTTCAAAAGGTGGTTCATCTAATCCCTTTGGACATGCCCGCAGAACTTCTCCAGTGCTAGTGAACATTGTCACTGTTACAGAAGATATGGCTAGCAGGGAAGCACAGTCATGAGGAAATTAGAATAGCTCCTAGGACTGTCTCACTTAGGCTCTATTTAGGATCTAAATAGTTACCCCCCTTTGAAGTTAATTTTGGTTATGAATAGGTTCCTGTGTATTGTTATTTATATTTTTGCTTTATTGTTTATTATTATTTTGCTTTATTTATATTTTTGCTTTTAAACATCTGTGTAACCGTGTTGTATATCGAACAAGATGCTTGGGTAAATTTATTTATTTTCTTCTTCACAGATGTTAGTGTGTTAACAGATAACGGTCATATTCTTTAAAGGTTGTCTTTATATTAGAAAGAGTTAGATCTGTTTAAAACTCACAAGGTTTTTATCATAAACAGATGAGGTTATACACGAGTGTTACTTTAATTTACTCTAACATTGTTTCTTTTGCTGTGCTTTAAACATACATTAATGATGTACAGCAAGATGTTTCAAGTAATCTTTTGTAACAGTGATATAAGTGGGAAGAGTTTAGTTTGTTCTGGGTTTCCAATGGGCATCCTGATTTTTTGGTATTGTACTACTGTGAAGATTTAAAAGAGGGTAGGCTGGGAGTATATTTTTCCAGAACCATCAAAGTTTGAAAGAGGAAACATCATCGTTTTTCTTACATAGGATCCTTACGTATAATACAGTAATCCATCTGTGATTAAACATCTCTTGTATAGACCTCAGGTGCCCATCATATCAGACTCTCTATTAACCTTTTCTCATCTCCATCTTTCAGCCACTGATGCCTGATCTTCATTATTACTACATTGCTGAATTATCATTCTACTGGTCCTTAATGTTTTCTCAGTTCATTGACATCAAAAGAAAGGTAAGAACAGTGAGACTGAAAACACTGAAGTCTTTGATATTCATCGCTGAAAAACTGATGCTGAAGGGCTTGTTTCACACTGTTCCTTGTTACTGTGATGGGCGTATTTTTTCTGCACGTGGGATGAAGAGCCTGATGTAATCAAATATTCAAAGGGAAATTGCATCAGCTGAAATCTACTGCTCTTATAAAATGACTTGAATGCAATTGATCAAATATATGTATTATTTCTACTTAGAGCTAAATGATTGGATATCAGTGATGGAGCAAGGCTGCCTCATAAATTCACAGTACCGTTTGGTAAGATCTGTGAAGGCACTGAATTTATTTTCCTGCACAGACAGGGTAAAAACTGAAATGTATTTAATAATAAAGAGTGATACTACATATAACCCTTGGTTATAAAACAAAACCAAACCTCTGCAGCAATGCTACAGAATTGTTCAGATTACTGCTGCAGGACTGTGTTTATCTAATCAGTACCCATGTATCCATTTCATCTCTCTGCACTGCTGTTGATTGTATTTCCCTTTCTTTGTGTACTTCTTGAGAGAGCAAAATTCAACAGCATTGCATTTGCAACATTATATTTTTAAAGAATATTTAATAGATTCCTGACTAGTTGCTTTCCTTATGTGAAAGGTAATTGGAGGTACTCAGTCAGCATCTAGGTATGCTGAAGTACAGTTCTGAAAAGAGCCATTGTGGTAGGCTTTCATCTTTCATCTTGATATGTCTCCTGGGAAAAAGCTATAGCGTTTGCACTTGTGACTTGAAGAGTTTGTTTCCATTGTTGAGCTGAGCACAGAGAGTCTGATACTGTCCATACATAGATACAAACAAAGAATCTTTTGTATGTCTCTCGTTTACTTATAAATGATTTATAGATAAATATAGATATATGCACGCACACACACAAAAGGCTTCTCAGCATACTGTTTTGGAAATGGAAGGAAAATGGAGATGAATTAGTGAATGGAGATGAATTAGAAAATGGAGTGAATTAGTCTGGTTGCAGCTAGATTACACCACTGTCACAGATTTACAGTGGAGCTAATTCTTTTTGTAGCTTAAACAAAATTGGTAACTAGGATAACCGGACTGGAAAAATGCTGCTGTGTGCTGGTGTCAGACAATAAAACTGCTCTGTGGTCAGGAGCAATTGCAAGCTGACAAGAAAACCCATGAGTTGAATAGTGTTAACACTGAGAGCTTACAGTAGTTGACAACAAGTAGTAGCACATGCTGCTGGGCATCAAGGCAGTGGCAGCCGTCAGCTGGATCACAACACAATGCCAGAATGTCTACTCTGACGAGACAGCTCAGGATGTAGAGGGATATCATACAAACAATGTGCTAAGCTAGTGGGAATATAGATGTTGCTAGGAAAACATGAAGCAAGCCTCAGCTCCGAGGTGAACTCCTATCAGACACTCAGGAGCATCAAAAACATGGACATATGTACCAATAAGGAAAGGCTAGAAGTTTTACAAGTGCTCAACCTGTAAAGGAAGGCAGAGGTGAGAAGCGTGATGTTGGTTCAAACTCATGCACTTCAAAGATTTTGAGACAAAAGACTGGTCTCAAAGCCAGTTTCCTGAGGTGCTCTGCACGTCACCAAATTCTGACTTCAATAGGTCAGGGTGTAAAAGTGCAAAAGCAACTTCTCTGAAAAACAAACAAAAAACCCCCCACCTAGTGGAGTACAAGCTTGACAGAGACATCAGCTCTTGCAGCACTGTTGTAGTTCTCTTTTAAAGAGCATGTTTAATTTTAAAAATGTGGAAACTTCTGAATCTGCTATATAATGTGTGATACAGTGACACCATAGCTGAAGGAAGCAGGAAATTTGCCAGCTAGTATCAGACATTATGGTAATACTTCATGACAGTTTATGCAGAACAGATTAACGGTTCTCAGTCTGAGAAACACGTTGAAGTTTTCTTGCTAGTGTGAGAGGAATACTGTTGTGTATGTTGTGCTTATCATTTTAGATACTTTTAAGTACAACAAGGTCTGTTTTGTTGTCTGGAATGATCATAAGTGCCCTGGCAGACATGAGCACTACAGGATTTCAGCCAACCCACTATTATGCATCCAGCTTTCCCAAGGCAAGGTGCTGTAGGTCCTTACTGAAAGTGCCAGCACTGATCACTGGCGTAGCTCCAGTCTTTTACTTTGTGCAGCTCAAGATAAATGAACTTCTGGTTTTCAGTCTTTTTTTTTTTTTTTTTTTCTTTCCTAACAATAAATTCATTATTTCAAATGGTTACACTGATTTTTAAATAGCTGTTTATCTTTTTTTTCAGATGTTATAACTTCTACCAGATTATCTCTGCCTGACTGAATAGATTCAAACAAAATATTAAGCTCTAAGTTAAGGCAATGATTTGAATAGGTTAACTTTTATAGTTTGTGTTATGTTATTTGCTTCATAAACATATATTGTGTAGCTGTAATTATATTCTACCCTTAAGGGTTTCGTATTTTCAAATACTACAATCTACTGTCATTTGTTTTGGTGTTTTATTGTGTTTGTTTTTTCAATTTTTTCTCCAGTTTCCTGTACTCCTCTTTTGTAAAACACACAGAAAGAAGATTGGATTGGCTAACAAGCCTCTGATAAGTTTTAAAAGTAATCAGGCTTACTTAACATTTTCTGGTTACCCGAAGCATTCGTTGATAGAATTGTCAAACTACCCTATGTAACAGAAATCTTGTTTCTGGAGGGTTTGTGTCAAGATTGAGACCCATGGGATTTTCTGTTGTCCGCACCATATTCTTCCATTGATGGTGTTTCATGAGTAGGGTCTTTCTCCTATTCTTAGAAACATATTTTCATGTAAAGGCACATGTTATCTTTCTGAAGTCACAAACAAAGGTTATAATATAACTGCTGTAAACTGTGCTGTTTGTGTCTTGCACAAATGTGTATGGTTCAAAATACACTAAAGAAAGAAGCCATTCTTGTATGGCTATAATTCTATTGTGTATGGATAAAACTACTTGAGTAAGCTGGGAACGAAAGTACCACTTGACATTATGTAGCCTTGCAACATTAGTTTCTGTGTATTCATTACCCTTATGTGTAATTAAAATGTAACACATAGCTTCTTCAAGCATAGTAACAATTACTGAGATAAGGAAATAGCAGGAAAGAAAGGACTAGAGTAACAAAAGCCTTCTTATTTATATCACTACTACTTTATTCTAGCAGTTCTCAGTATGTTGGACCAGTATCTCTGTTTCAGAGCTGACAGAGTCAGTTAACTGTCTTTTCCAATAAACATCAGAGAAGGAGTTCCTTGGACAGCATTTCTGTAAGTAGTCTCATGTGGAGATGCAGAAGACTGTTGCCCATAGGTATTAGGTCTGCTTAGGAGTAATCTGTACTGTCAGGAATGCCTTGAAGAGTTCCCAGGAGGGAATGGAATTCTAGTCTTTGTAGAATGTGAATGTGGCATCTATAAAAACAGAGGAATTATTTGGCTTAAGACTTCTTGCCTCATTTGGACTGCCTATGTGCAAAAGTAATTACAGTTAGCAGGAAAATGAAGAAGTGCTATAGTATTTGCAACTGAAGCAGGTAAAAGAGCTAGGCTGCAATATGGCCATGTGGGAATGCTAGCCCTGGGGAAAAGGGTAGATGCTTTGCTTTTTTGAATATGGCAGAGTCAAATGGTCCCCATGGGTGGGTTTGTGGTTACTGAATTGACCAAGATGCCATGTTTTTGCTCTCACTTAAGACCCTCGGAAAGAGAAATAGACTTTAATTTTACTTGTATTCAGTTATCTTTAAGGAAATGGAATGTAAACAATGGTTTGAGATGATTGCTGCATGCGTTTGATCGCACTCCAGACTGCTGGAAACCAAATCTGACTATGTCAAAATAGCATGCAATTTTCTGCTTTTAGTCAATTCTTCTTTGTGTTGCGGATTTGCAGGACAGAGGAGCCTGTAGTACTTGACAGCATTAAACATGGAGTGGTAGGCTAAGAGTTCCTTCCCTTTGTAGTTAATGAATCAGCTCAAGCTGCAAGTTTTTTCACAGACTCCAAGTATGCAGTGCCATGCATGCAAGGGCTGGTCCTAGAAGTGGCAGTGCATTCCCATGCACAGCAGGCCCCTCTCCGTTACCAGAGACAGGCAAGGTGGCACTGAACAGTCACCTGCAAACACTAGAGAGAGCAAGCAATGGGCAGCTATAGCCAGAGCTATCCCTTTGTTACTGGGAGCTCACCAACACTTTTCCTGCAGGTCCTCAGACCTTCCCTCCAGGCTCTGTCCCTCAAAAGGCTGCAGCTGCAGATTTAGTTTCCCTGCTGTTTCTCTGCAGTGGGCTTATCAGCTGATGACAGCTTAGTTGGAATCAACTGCTGCAAGAAACACAAATGCTACCTCCCAAAGCACTTGGTGAGGAGATGAGCCTTCCTGGAGGAGCTGTTCCTTGTGGCTATCTGGATCTGTTCTCTCTGCATTATTCACTTTTCTCAGTCTTGAAGTCCTGCCATTCTGGTTTGATTGTGCTTTAACCCTGTTTTTATTTTTTAATTTATTTTTAATCTAGAAGTCACACAACTGCCTGAGAATGAAGGCAAGAAAGAATCTGCTTTTCTCTAATTAGAAATAATTACATCTTTGCAAGCTTTTTTCCTGTTTTAGCAACAGCCTTGTATGAGAGCTGCTTTGCTACCTGGGCACCCAATGCCTGGAGGAACTCCCCAGTCAAATGGTCCCGTGACCTTTTCTTCAGGGTTTTGATAATACTTTCTCACAGATTTGAATGTAGTTAAGCAAACTCCAGCCTCCAGCAAGACTTAATTATTTTTAAACTGATTTTATGCCTTACAGAAGAGTCTCATGCCAGTGTATCCTGTTCTCCCTGTAATCAGCCTAGGAGTGTAGGCCAGGTGCAGTAGTTGTTCCCTTTGCTTTGCCCACTCCTAAGGATGCATCAGAGATTTTGATATTCCAGGAGTTTTACTACTGCCCGTATTTTTCAATAGTAACAGTTACTCGCTGACTCTGTTTGAAGTTTGAAGACTGGGCAATGTGCATCATTTGGAAGATAGCAGCTTAGATCTTAGGAAGAGGATCTGCACTAGCTCATTTGAAGACTTTTCTGACCCTGCTATAGTGTGAAGAACAGCATTAGAAAGAAACAAATGAAAACAGAAACTTGGGATTCTCAGCTCTGTGAGACTGCTCCATTGCACTTGGCAGATGACTGTCAATAATTGCTCATAGCACTGAGGAAATGTGTTGGTTGTACCTCTGCAGCTGTTTGAACTCTTGTAAATGATGCACTATTTTGCAGATTGTGTATTACTCAGTATATAAGAAGTAAGGTGTAATTTGATTTGTATGTACATAAGTTTTTTCAAAGTAACTGCAGTCTGGATGTCTATGAAATTACATTATTACAAACTGAGAGACATAGCTATTTTCTAGCTTTTGATAATCTTTTCGCCTTTTGTTATCATACAGTGGCTATTTTATTTAGTCAAAGGAAAAAATATCGCTGGGTAGGTACTTAAGTAGCAGAATCTTCCTGCAACGTAACCATAATGCTGGATTTAAAAACATTCATCCATTTTTATGTGGGTATACTGAATCTCACTGTTTATTTCATTGTTGTTTTTTTCTTTTATTTTTTTCTGCTTCTCGCTGCTCTAGGATTTTGGCATCATGTTTACACATCACATTGTAACTGTCACCCTGATAACCTTCTCATATGTAACCAATTTGACACGAGTGGGAACCCTGACCTTATGTCTCCATGATGCTGCTGATGTTGTCCTAGAGGTGAGACAATAACTGTGTCATCAATGTACGTGATATTTACTATTCTGAGAGCTCATGTGTCAGTGGGTAGAATCTATTTGCTATGCAGAACATGTATTCCCTAAGCAAAGAGGCCAGTTCAAGATGGTAGTGTTGATTAATATAGTGTATTTTCTTACTGAAATGTACTACGCTTGTAGCAGTCCATGTTTGTGACTTTAGGCTGATTTATTCTTTGATAAGCTGCTTGTATAGAACAGTCTGATGATGCACTGCCAGGAAGAGTTGCAGATTTTAAATATAGCATGAAAAAATCAAAAACTAAGGATTATGAAAAATGGAAAGTGGCTGCTGTGTGGTATAGAAACTCCTGTCTTGACCTCTCTGAAGTGATGAGCTAAGGGAGAACCCTGCCTCTGGAAGAATCAAGGGGTCGTGATTTGGTTCTGCTGTTCTTTGCTGAGCAGAGGGCATGAAACAATGTGCTCATCCTGTGCAAAGGCAGTGAACTCACCTGCTTCTCTGGAAGACTTCCAAATTCCTGTCCCCACACCTCATCTAGATGCCAGTATTAACCAGATGGCTTTGGAGAAGAGGGAGATGATTTATACTCTTTTAAGACAAGATGATCTGTAAAAAGATGATCTGTAACTTCTTTAGCAGCAATTTAGAGATTTTTCTCATCAGTAATGCTGAGATTGTGATGTGGACTCTCCATCAGGATCAGATAATAATTGCTTTTGTCTAAAAGTTTTTTTTGTTTTTTTTTTGTTTTTTTTTTTTAAGTATTTTCAAGGATCCTTTTATGCAAGAACATAGCCTCACTGCATTATTCACTTTTCTCAGTCTTGAAGTCCTGCCATTCTGGTTTGATTGTGCTTTAACCCTGTTTTTATTTTTTAATTTATTTTTAATCTAGAAGTCACACAACTGCCTGAGCATGAAGGCAAGAAAGAATCTGCTTTTCTCTAATTAGAAATAATTACATCTTTGCAAGCTTTTTTCCTGTTTTAGCAACGTGTGTAGATCTATTCTGCTGGTTATGAATTCACCCAAACCTTCTTCATTCCTATTTTCTTGCCAGCAGAAGGGCATACTTGATGTTGTTCATTTCAGATCAGACCAGTGCCTGTGGAACTGGAAAACACTGAAGAGTAGCTGTGGTAGGCTAGCTAAAATCTTAGCTTGAACACACTGGGATATATATTTTTGATCAATTCCTCTGTCCCCCTAAGGCAAAGAGAGATTGCTATTCCCACGATTTGAAAACATAAAGCAAAGTCTATTTTGTTATGTGAGACAGCCTTTTGCAGTCTTCCTGGTCAGTTTTTTCAGCTTGTTTTACCTGGAAATACTAAAGCTGCTTATGAAGTATAACAATCATAACCAAAACCCTTGAGAAACATTTACTAAGGGGGTTGTTAGAACTCACTCAACATGCTCTCTTCTGCTAAGACAGTAAGTCACAGCCCCTGTGCCATATGAGACAAAATGAACTCTGATATTATTTAGGGAATGTTAATGCAGAGGAAAATAAATATGTAGCTGCAAAAGAAGCTGATAGAATTTCTTACTGTGATGGATCAGTTGTGTACCTGACCTGTTTTATATGATACATACTGGTACAAATGGAAAGCTGCTTCTAGAAGCCATTAAACTGTTTCCACCTACCACTTCTTGACGAAACATATACAGTGGAAAGCTGATTGGGGATGCATTAGTTTTGCTGTTCTTATTGCAGAAAGCAGTATGTATTGGTGGAAATAGTGGAGGTGAGTTTTTTTCCGTAGACTTTAAGGCATTTACATGTGTAAAAGATTCATGGTGGGACTGGATGAAGGGAAAGCTATTCCTATTGTCATCCTGGGCTTCAGGACCTTTGACACTGACCTCTTAAGATTCTCAGAATTCCTGTAGGGAAGCTGTCAAATCATGTGTTGGATGATCAGAAAATAAAGTGGATGAAAAACAGGCTGAACAGCCAGCCCTGAAGTAGCAAGTGGTAAAAAGTCTAATTGGAGGCCAGTAAGCAGTGGAGTACCTCAAGAGCCAGTACTGTATCCAGTCCTGTTTAACATCTTCATTAACTATCTGGATGATTTAAGGTGATACAAAATGGGAGGGAGTGCTGACTCTGACATCTAGAGGGACCTTGACAGGCTAGAGAAGTGGGCTGACAAAAATCTCATGAATTTCAACAGCATGATGTGCAGAAACTGGCACCTGGGGAGGAACAACCCAAGTAATCAGTATATACTGGAGGCCACCCAACTGGAAAGCAGCACTGCAGAAAAAAAGTCCCAGGAGTTCTGGAAGGCATACAATCATTAGTCAGTAATGTGCCCTTGCTGCTAAGTAGGCTAGCAACGTTCTTGACTGTCTTAGGCAAAGTATTACCAGCAGTACAAGAGAGGTGATCCTTACCTTCTACTCAGCATTGGTGACGCCATGCCTGGAGTCCTCTGCCTAATTCTGGGCCTCTCAGTGCAAGAGAGACATAAAATAAGAGTCCAGTGAAGGGCCACCGGGATAATCAAAGGACAGGAGCACTTCTGCTGTAAGGAGAGGCTGAGAGTGCTAGGTCTGTTCAGCCTGGAGAAGAGGAGGCTCAGGGAGAATGCAAAGAGAATGGAGCCCAGCTCTTCTTATTGGTGCCTAGTGCCAGGACAAGAGGCAGTAGGCACTCATAGGAACATAAGAGTTCTGTCTAAGCATCAGGAAGCACTTCTTTTATAGTATGGGTTACAGAAGGCTGGCACAGGCTACCCAGAGACTGGGGAGTCTCCCCCTGGAGATTCTCAAAAGCATTCTGAACACGGTTGAGGGCACGATGGGCTCTGGGTGTTACATCTTGAGCAGGGGGATTGGACCGGGTGACCTCCAGAGGTCCTTTCCAACCTCAGCCATTTTAAGATTCTGTGATACTCACAAATCTGTACCTCAGTTTAGTTTATCTTGGATGCTCAAAGCAGCCTAGCTATGCCAGGATAGACTAAGCATAGAATCATTGGCTTGCGTAGGAAGCCATAATATAATCTTTAGCTGAAATCCAGGCTACTGAGAGAAAATTTCAGCATCCCTTCTAAGTTCAGTTCTTTGAGAGGCTTGGGCTATCTTTGCAATGTAGTACAGCTTGCGGGTTAAAAACACTTGAAACTAATCTGCTTAAGAGTGTAAAACTGCTCTTATGTGGGACCTTGAGACCTTCCAGACTCAATTCCCTTCCTACTTAATGAACGCTATGTTACTTTGTGTTACATTATCTTAGGTGGCCAAATTCTATCCAACGACATGCACTTTACCACTTTTTTCTAGTCCTTCCTTATCAATGTTGTTTGTAGATCTGTGTTTTGAGTATTGATAACCCATCACCTGTACTGTTTTTGAGAAATACTACTACAAGCTGCTGTGGCAATACCAGCTTCACACTCTGTAAAACCATCTTTTTTAGGCTGCCATCGTGGGAATATTGAATTTCCAGTTATCTGAAAATCATTATGTTAGTAACTCCTCTCCCTTACATGTTGGCATCCAAAGTGTTATCTTTTCCTTAAAACAGCCAAAGTACAAACTACTAGGAAACACATTCATGTCCAGTAGAATACAGGACTGATTGAGAAGGCTTTAAGAATATAGGGTTGATTCAGGATGCTAATGATTTCTTTGCAGCACTTGAAGCTTTCCAAATATTTCATAAGCTTCCTAATTTGTTTTCTGTTTGTAAGAATATTCTTTATGTTCAGATTTTGAATAGAAATATTTCAGAATATTTGAATAGAAATATTTATGTAACATCAAGAAGTGCTGGATGGTTTTGGCATGTGGATTGTCTGATGTGAGCATTGTGCGTTTTCAGGTTCATTGTGTTCATACCAATAGGATCAAACAATGCAGGACTGCCTCTGACCATTTTAGATAGTTTTTTAGTTTGAATTCTGCGCTCAGAATAGTATTCTCTATGCATTGTGGTTATTTTTCTCCCTCTTCACAATCAAGCATTTTTTAGATAGGGGAGCTGGATACGTGTCCCTTCTCAAGGAGGCATCCAGTGGACACTAAATTAATCTCTTGATATACTGAATGGTGCAGTGGCTCTTTACACTTTTGACACAAAGCATAAGAAAGACATGAACACTTTGGAAGCAGCATAAGTGCCTTAAAACAAGGTTGTATGTGCATGCTGTTTTCTTCAGGAAGAAGAGGACAGGGAAACTTCAGGTAAGATCAGAGTTTTAAAGAGTTTGAGTGAAGTGTATCTGGTTGACTCCTTAACCAAGGAAGGAGTCAGAAGATTGCATGAAGACAAATGACTGGAGCATGTAAAAATAGGCTTATGGCAAAAGGTTAGGAGAGCAAAAGAGTTTTAGATGGAGAAGGAGGACATAGGAGCAATACAAGCCTTGGGAAAAGATTTGGAGAGAGGAATACAAACTTAAAGACAGCAACTGCTCTGTATAAGCTAGAAAGTCAGGAGAGATACTGCAGAAGAATAGAGGCTGTGGGGCACAATTGAGCATTTGAAACAGAAATGTTGTATATAGCAAAAAACTGGAAGACAGAAGTATGGGACAGCTGAAAGATATGTAGTTGCCAAAAATGAAAATGCAGCCCAGTGGGAAAGACTTGGATTGCAGCACTGTGGAAAGATGAGAGAAAGTAGGTTAAAAGGCTGCTGACAAGGATAGCATAAGCATAGTGGGGCTCAGTACAATCTTTGTAAGAGTTTTGTAAATTTGAAACTGTAGGATTTGTAGGATTTCAAATAGGAAATGGAATGGAGATGAAAGAAGTGAAGGAAATATTCTGGTTTTGTGCACTTTTTTTCAGGAAAAGAAAAAATTCCAACTGCTTGGTAGAGAGGAGTTCTGAGGTTTCTGTGAGGCAGCCCAATGAAAATGTTGGTCATTTGATCAAAATTTGTTTTATTTTTATTTTTTTACAACTTATACACAATTCAAGAGAATTCAGTTGTCCTCACGGAAGTAAACAGACATTTCTTTCTTTTACAGGCTGCCAAAATGGCAAACTATTGCAAGTGTCAAAAACTGAGTGACCTTCTGTTCCTTACGTTTGCAATTGTCTTCATTGTCAGTAGGCTTGGCATATATCCTTTATGGTGAGTAAGCACATCATTTCCACCAAATGCTAAGCATCAAACAGATTTGAAAATAACCGTGTTGTAATTGAACATGATTCGTTGACGTTACTCTGTTTCCCAAAGCATCAAACAGTGTTTCAGATATAACCAGGTGTTGTAGTTGCCTATTTGCTAGACTGCTGTTGGATTTACAGTGTGCTAGACAAGAAATGTGGGGCTTCTGCTGGTTTTAAAGTTAGAAGTGAAGTGGAAATCGCATGGCTTCAGGTTAGCAGGTAGTTTCTTGTGTTGGCAAAAAGTAGGAGGGAAAATAAAATGAATGCACTGAACAGATGCTAAGCTTGATCTTCACATTAGCTTACAGCTCATGCTTTATGAACATGTTCAGCTTAAAGAAAGCACAGTGAGCTAAGTCCAGCCCTGCTGAAATCAGTGAAAGGATGTTATTGTTGTGGAGATCTGCAGTACTGCAGGCTGTTCATTTTCTACCCTTCTATCCCTTCTACCTTTTTTGTTGGAGGTAGTGGGAAAGCTCTGTAGGACATGCATCTTTAAGGTAATTGTATTGGTGTTAACATAATCTCACCTTTTCCCAGACAAAGGTAGCTGCTTGCGTGTGCACACACATTCTCTTCTTAGGTACATACACCTGAACACATACAAATACACACAGATATTTGATTCTTTAGCTGGGATCTTCAATATCCAGAAGGCTGCAGACTTGTTCCATACTGGTGGAGAAATTCATTGAAGTTTTTCTGTAACTATAGTATGAGTTAGCTTTGCCTAAAAAGGAAATGCTCTGCTATAGGTGCGTGTGCCCTATATATGAGCAGGGCTGGGAGAAGGCATTGACCTTACTCTTTTATGTTCAAGATCCTTCCTTTCTCTAGTGCGAACAGAACTAACTGAAATTTCCACATCTCTGTGAGACCAGGAAGGATCCATTATTATGTCAGAAGATAATGGCAGTGGTTTTGGTTTTGGGAAGCATCAGAAATGTTACCCTTTGCAGAGGTTTATTGAGAAAGATTACAACCAAATTCTTTATTTAGGCAGACAGAGGATGTACGGATACCAGTATCAACCTCTCTTATAATTTCTTCTCAAATCCTGTATGATGGTATCTCTTTATGGCTTTGTTTACTGCAAACAGGATAAGCCTAAGGAGCCCTTAAGGTGTTTTATCAGTTCTGATTAACACTAGAATGTAGAAGTCTCATTTAGTGGTTAATGACCCCCAAAAAATAATATGATAATGCCTGACCCCTTCTGTGCTATTTGTACAGCCCCATAACAGAAGGAGAAAATGGTTAGACACACAAACTGCATTTTTTAAATGCATGTTATTTTATTCCAAGGAGCAATGATTTGTTTCTTAAGCATCTTCTCTTCCTTTTCCTCATTACTTCCTTGAAGTTAACTTGGCCATTCATTGAATTTCACTAAATGAATTAAGTTAACTTTTTTTTATCTGTATGATCTCAAATAGGAAAAACAATAGCATTTATGATCATAGGATTTAATCTAACCATCGCACACTGCTTTATATTGGGAAATGCAGGAAAGGCTCAGTCTGATTGTGGCAGCTTGAAATAGAAGTGCCACTGCTCACTTCTCTCTCCTTTGATGGTTTAAAAACAGTAATAAATTTAGTTTTTTCTGCGTGCTTTGAGGTGGGATTTTTTATACAGCTAACCTGAGAGGAATGCAGAGCATGAAGGGATAAGGTTAGGAAAGAGAAAACTCAGCTAGAATTTAATCTGGCAAGGGATGTCAAAGGCAATGAAGAGGTCTTATGTAAATGCAGAGATGACAAAAAGGACGACTGTGGTGACACAGAAAAAGTCCAAGTCTTGGCCAGCCTGCTCTGGATGACCTTGCCTGAACAGGAATGTTGGACCAGATAATCTGTGGGGGTCCCCTCCAACCTCAGTCTTTGTGTGGTTCTACAAGGTGCCTTATGTGTTTATCAGAAGCACTAGCAGAGCAGTTAAACCACTCTCTGTGTTATTTGAAATTGCAAAGAGAGAACTGCTGACTTTAAATATTGTTATTTAGACACAAACTTTACCAGATCACTGTTTTGTGCTTGCTTTGAAGACAATTTGAACAATGAAGACTGGATTAATCTCCCCAGGGTGCATGATTTTGAAGGAGGACATTGATCTTGTATCCGTATAACTAGAAGCATCTGGCCAATATGCTTTTTCTCTTGAGATATCTTAAAATCATCAAGGTCAAGATTTTCCCATCCTTTACATCTCTACTGTGGTAGTCAAGTTTTTGAAAATCCACACTTTAACTTTTAACCTGGGACACTGAAAATAACACTGCATTTGTAACCAGAACTGAGTTTCATACCCTGTAATGCACACCTCATGCTGTCAGACTTGCAGTCCTGGAAGAGACTACCAGCACAGCATTAAGTTACAGAGCAAGCATAGAGATTTGAGCGCTGCTTTACAGGCATGACGCTTTGTGCTGTTCATCTGGGGCATGTCCATCATTCCTGTATATACTTGGTACAAGCAGCAGTTCTATAACACTTCTGATTGAACATTGTCTGAATTCTGCTCTAAAGAGTAGCAGTGGCCCAGTGTACTGAAAGCAGGATCAAAATTGTGGTGAGTAGATCTGGGAAAGAGGGACAGAAAAGAGCATTGTGTGGTAGCTTTGGGTATTGTTGTTGACTCCCTTGGTACTGAATACTGGTTTAACGAGAACATCAGATTACAGCTATGGGCAAAGTTAGATGCTAGGTGGTATAGAAAACAAACTTATTTTTACAAGAGTAAAATTTATTTGACATACTGCCTGTGTAATACCCATATTTTGTTCCTTTGGTAGAAGAATGCATCATAACACTGGAGTGGTTAGGTGGTATCATTCAGAAAAGACTCATAAAATCAGAGAAGGCAGAGGGATTGCGTGTAGCTAGCAGCAGACAATGTACTCGTTTCACAAATAGAATGGTTACAATAGCGATCCCCTTGCCTTACCTCCTGCTTAGCTGACCAAAGCCATGTTTATCTCATTTGAATCTGTGAACAGTTTAGCCATTCACCTAGTCCTTGTGAATATGAAATGGAACTGTTTGACATGTTTTTTTGCATGATTTTTGACACTATCATTTCTCCAAACCGAAGTATCAGTTTACATACACTTAATGCTTATCCTTACAAACATCCATAATCACAGAGTTTGGAGGCAGTTTCCTAGTTCTTAGCTTAGTGGGAGCATTGCACATGGGAGCCACGGTTAGTAGAAATTAAGTATGGGATGCATGAGCTTGTATCTCCTTTTTCTATCCGCTTTTTCTATGAAGCTGTAGTGCTATCTCTTCATCCCCATTAGCTTGCATGTTGGCAAATTTGAGTCACTGCAGTGGCAGCAAGCCAGAATATATAGTTTTGCTCTCCTTTTCCTTGTTGCTGAATATTCAAAGCAGCAAAATTTGGTGCTTGATTAATATTACATAAATATGCAAATTCCTCTAGCATAAAAACTAAGAGGTAAAAAATAAATAATTGGTGAGCATGTAATGTGAAAGGAAGGCTGTAATTTATAGGAGAACCTCCCCCACACAGGAAGGCGAATATCCAAGGCAGGGTTCCAACAACGCTGCTTATGAAGCGCAGGCATGAGCTTGTGCTCCAGCTTTGCACAAGTGCCATTTAATTCTGCATAAAGGTGCTAATAAAGAATTCAGAATGTATCAAATGCTGTTGTCTGAAGGTTGTTTAGCAGCATGGCTAAGACAAAAGAAACAGGCAATTAGGTATATATTTAGCAGTCTTTCTACAGGCATCTGGAGTTCATTTCAGCAATAATTCAAAAACCCCAGGACACTTTCTTCCTCCTGCCACTAAGTGAATGTAGGAGTAAAGCTGCTATTTTCACTGACAAGACATTTTGCTTGTGAAATTCTCCCACTTGCGCATAATCTCTGTTCTAGCAAATTACAACATAAAACATAACTCTACGTAAGTTGAGGGAATATGATGCCTTCTCAAATGATACAGTTGTAAAGAGAATGAAGGCAACCACAAACTGAAGACTTGACAGAAGTGACGTCGAGGTCCTGGTTGGTCTAATACTGTGGTCATACTGTGCAAAGCTGTTAGCTCAAGCTTTTCTTCATTCCATTAAGCCTTGCATGTTCTTTTCCCTAATTCTCAAACACTTTGTTTTGATGCAGTTGCGCACGTGCAGTTTTCTCTCTGTTGATAAAGGAATGGTTTGCTATTTAATGTCATTTTGTTTTTATTTCAGTAGCCTGAAAGGAAAACTCCAAGGGGCTGTAATATTTATTAATCATTTTTTGAAGTGTACAGAGAACAAACGGGCTCTTACATTACAGGAGATGTGGGTCTGAAGACAGTAATGCGTTACAGCAGCCAAGACTTCCAGTCTTTCTTTGCTTGTTGCAGAATCCTTGCTCTGAGAACTGTAAAATTCATGAAGTTTGGGCTGAAGAGGAGTCCCAGAACTACTCTCTTACTGTGCTTATCCTTCCAGAATATATGCGTTGTGTTTTCTTTTTCTGACAGAGCAGTTTGAATAATGCTGTGAAGAGTTCAGTATCTGAAACTGGTTTCACAAGGTGACAGGGTATTTTAAAGAGCTTGAGTGGAAAGCAGTTGGTGTGAAGAGAGACATGAGGCTACTATACTCATTTACTGTTTTACAACATGTTGAAGTAGCTACAGAAAGGTGTAACTTTTCAATTGAAAGAAGGAAGGGAATGCTCCAATGAAAGCAAGGCTGATGCTTACCATGTGGACAGTGCTAAGTTGTGTAAATTCAGATTCCTTCATGATTCTCAGAGTAGTACTAGTATGAGGTTATTTTTCACCACTTTTGATTAGTTATAGGAAAACTAGAACAAACCAAGTTGCAGGAAGGTGCCACAATCAAAAGTAAAGGGAGCAGGGTAATGGGGTTTGCATTCATTAGGTCTGTGAAGTGTCAGTGTCACACAGTGTAAATTCATTGGCAAATGTTGTAAAACACCA